CCCCCCGTCATTATCTCTAATCTGCAACTGTGTCACACTGTTAAATGATGTTAAAAAGTCATCATCACCAGCCCACTTGGGCTTCCTGTGTGCAGGCTATCCTAATCAACCCGGGAGTCCAAAATCAGAAGCTCGAATAGACCCAGTTGCTCCTAACAACTGTTATGATTGGACTTTACTTCCTACTGGGCCTCAACAAAACTGGCTTGGTGGAAGATCCGGTCTCTCTGCTATCATCTCTCACTTTGTGAGACTTGCCCTTCACACACATTTTTGTTAGGAAAGAACAAAACTTTTCAGAGATCCTTAGCTGAACTTCAAGCCTCACCCTTCACTACATAATTTGGTTCCTCTTTGTGTTCGTGTGGGGGAAAGTAGTTTAGTTTGACAGCTCGTGTTTGAGATGGGGGCTCAATGTTGCTCAAGCTCGCTCTAAACTCGAGACTCCTGCCTCTGCCCCCAGAACAGCTGGAACAGAAGTGCCTGGCTTCACAGGGACCTTCTTAGTAGCCACGACAGCAAACGAGCAGTTCCAGTTCAAGTGCGAGATGCTGCTTCCCAGAAATTTCTGCTTCTTTCTCTTCATGCCCTAGGGATGGCAGATCCCAACCCTACCTGGGCCCGGACTCCCTGCAAGAGGATGAAGAGGCTCACACGTGCCCTTTTCTCTGCGTTTCCAGCTAGCCACTCAGCCCTGTCCTCTTCATGGAATTGGATGTGTTTCGATGAGGCAGTCCTTCCGTTTCTGGTGACTGAGGTTGTTTTATTGCATCCTGGATCCCTGTACTGTTGTCCTCACAATGACAAGGGCTGCTGCTTGCCGCAAAATAGTATGCACTCACTGGGCCACTCGTTACTGAGACCAAGCCGAGCCAGGTTATGGTGGCATGCATCTGTAATCCCACACTTGGGAGGCTGAGGCAGGAGGATTTCTGTAAATTGGAAGCCAGCTTGTGCTACCTGTCTCAGAAAACAATAGACAAACAAAAAAACAAAAATAACACACACAACAAACCCAAACAAAAGAAATTTTTTGGCCTTACTCCCAGAGTTGTCTTTTTTTCCTTCCTGTGTTGTAGAGCAAGTTTCTGTTTCTTTATCCAGGTGCATGTGGCCCTGTGCGCACATCACTTCAGCACCCGGACTGAAGAAACAGCCCCATCTATTGAGGACAGGACAGAAACCTGCACTTTGCAGAAGCAACTCTGCTGACGGGACATTCTGAACAACACTGCTCTAAGTAATACCGGACTAGGGAACACGAGCGGGGCAGATGGTGCAGGCCTGTGAGCCCAGCATGGGCAGCAGAGGCAGGAAGATGACAGACTGACAGCAAGCCTGGTTCTCCATGGCAAGTCTGGATGCGCTGAGGACACCGTCCCCAGACACTTTCATGTGGCATTAACTTTACTGCACATCTAGACCTCCAAAGAGTATCCTTTATTCTGCTAATTTCCTAGGGGTTCACAGAGTCTCCCCTGTCATTTGACTACAGACCACATGCCAGCAAACATGACCTGCTCTAGCAGCGGCTTCATAGTCTTTCCTAATGCGTTTTGGGACAGAAACTCCCATCAACACCTCTCTCGTGCCCAGGCTCTACGCTAAGCCCTTCCCACGCATCACCGTTTTATTCACTGAGATATGACTAGGAACCCAGGCCTGAGCCTGGCTGCGTGTGCTCTGGAGGACCTGCAAGAACTCAGTCCTGTCACTAGAGTCTTTGGGTGACTGCTGGACAGACCCTAGTGATGCTCTCTGAGGAGCCGAGCAGGCTTTTCTCCTTGCCCACCAGCACAGGTGGGTGTTAACCTGTTTCCTACAACACGCTCTCATTTTTTTTTTTTTTTTTGGTGGCAAAATCTATTTTTTTAGTCGTTTCCCCTATTATATGTTAAGGTTCCATATTATGTCTAGAAAAGAATGTCCTACATCAGGTATAAAAATATATTTTCTTGCTAGGTGTGATGGCACATGCCTTTAGTCCCAGCAGCAGGTGGGGACCTCTGTGACTCTGAGGACAGCTTGGTATACATAGTGAATCCCAGGACAGCCAGAGCTACACAGGAAGACCCTGTCTCAATATATATATATTTCTCAAAAAATTTTGTTGTTTTTCCCCCCCTCTAGACCTAGTTTTTGGGAAACTGAGGTAGAGTTCCAACTAACAGCGAGCCAGCTGTCTCAGAGAACTGTCTATCAAACAACCCATCTCTTCCTCCCTGCACTTGAAACCATGGACACACGTCTGTGTGCTGGGTCTGTCTGGCCTGCATGATGACTGAATTCTTGCTGGCAGGACTTAAAGACAAGTGCCTTCTGCCCACCTTGGACTCACCAGGCGCACACCACCACTGCCATTCAGAACTACCTCATGTCCTCCTCCTGTACTCTTAAAATGAATGTCAGAACTGGCAGAATTCCACAAAATATCCAACCTTGCTGGAATTACATTGATTTTATGGGCTGATTTGGGAAGAACCAGTCTTTACAGGAGGGTGGACAGCACTCAGGCAACTCACAGACTGCCTTGCTGCGTCTTCAGGCGACACTGGTTTCTAGGTAGCTTGTGATTTAAGAACAATGGCCGTCAGGACTCTTCCTAGTCCCCATCTGCTCAACTGCGGGGGTTAGTGATCTGGGGACCCTGCTAAATAACAGCATGCCCCCGGCTAATTCCTGACCTTCAGGAGCGTGCCTATGCTGTTTGGTTCTTTAGGTGCTATTATTACTGGTGATAGGGACCTTTATCTAGACGGTGATGATTCTTTCTAGTCGTGGCTTACTAAGATTTCATAAGGGATGGAGTTTCACTTTTACCAACTCTGTTTATCATTTATAGACAAATTCGCTATTAACTGAAGCTAAAATGAAGCATAAAGCCTCCTAATTTTTTCTGCATTTTCTTTGTCCCACACACCAGGAAGGCAATAATTCTGCAGATGGAACAAAGATGAACCTTCTCAACCTGCCACTGGGCCCAGCACAGGATGCCTCCCAAGGAACCCAAGCACAGGGGTCTTGGCAGCTCCATTTCCTTTCTAGGGAAAGGAACTTAGCCAGAACCCCATGACAGGAACTTGTGGAGAGTGGTGTGTGAGATGAAGCAGCAGGGAGGATGGGAGACACTTCTCACCCCTGCCACAAAGCAGCACATCACCAGAGGACCAGCGCGGGACAGGCATGGGCACCTGAAGTGTTCTATGGCCTCTGGCCTTGATTTAGAGTCTCAAGCAAGTCCTTCCTGCCACCCAGCGGTCACTGGCTGGGCCCACAGGCTCAGTGGCACTCAGAGCAGAGGCAGCAAAGTCTCTAGGCTCTCGGGAGAGCTGGGGTCCCTTCCACTCCTCTGCTTCACTAACAATGGGACCCTATGCCCTTCTCCCAGAATCTTTCCGCTCCTGTGCTTGCAGAAGGACATGCGGGGTCTATGTCACCATAGGACCTCCCCCAGAGCTAGCTCCTAAGTGCAGTCACCTGGCACTGGGCTGTTCCCCTCAGCTTCCTTGACCTCTTCTGTTTGTTCCGACTCTTCCTATATCCCATTTTGGGAAAAGAATGGGAGCCTGAGCCTGTGCCCCGCTGGGTACCTACTCACAACCCAAAGAAGTTCCTCTCCCTCGTCTCACCGGCATCTGCCCACCACCGATGTGTAGGTTGTCCCAAACACAGAAGCAACAATACACAAAGTAAGGGCAGAGCCCAGTCCATCAGTTCTGGGAGGCAGAACGGAATGTGGTACTAGTGTGACCTGCCCAACCGATCCTGGTGCTAAGAGGCAGTCTCTGTGGACGCACTTTCTCTTCAGGTCACATGAAGCCCTAACCTAACCCAAGCGGAGGCGGAAGGTGCCAATCTCCATGGGCTCCAGAAAGATGTCAGTGCTGTTGGAGGGTGAGGCCAGAGGGTACAGCAAGGTCAAAGAGGTTGGCTGTAGAAACACCACATCCAGGCCATGGAAGAGGCTCCCCAGGGCCAGCTGTGAAGAGAGAGGAGGCAGGCTGAGCTGGGAACCGCCAACACTGGGTTAAGTTCTTTCTCACACCCAGTACCACCTTTTAGCTTTTTTTAATACAGGGTCTCACACTGTCTTCAAGGCTACCCTCAAACGCACAGCAATTCTGTCTCAATCTCCTGAGTGCTGAGATGGTATTGTGAGCCACCACACCTGGCTTTCGGTCAGATCCCTCAAGAGAAAGTAACATGACTGTAACTCTTGGGAGGTGGACTCAGCTGGCTCAGGAGTTCAACTCAGCTTTGGCCACAAAGTAAGATTGTATCCAGCCTACATAAGACCTTGTCTCAAGAACAAAAACACAATAAATAAAGAGAAAAAGTAAGAAGGAACTGATCTCAGGGACGCTATGGTCCTGTCTGTAGCAACACACCTCAGCTAGGTTTTGCTGCAATCCACTCAAGCCGGGAGCCTATCCAGGCACCGCAGTACCAGCTGGACACCAAGCTGTGTTTGAGAACAAGGACTATGTCTGGGTTCACTTCTGAGTCACCAGAGCAGGCAAAGGGCCAGCGGACGCCATGATTAATGCTTTGAAAGGTGTGGCAGTGCTTCATTCTCAATTTCCCACCATGCTCAGGACAGGCCCCTCCTCCTGGCTTCTAGTTCAGTGCCTTGTCTGAAACTGCTCATGGCCAACTCAATACTAAAAACACTGATACAGCCTCCCCTTTGTTTCTGGGGAGCCCTGAGGTTATGCCTTCTCCTCTCACCCTACTAACAAGCCGCAGGCCAGCCTCCCTCTAAGTTCTCAGTTCTGCTACTGTAGAAAGTCCAGCTTCACTGTCTTGACAAAGTGTCCTGCTTCCACCCCTGGGCCCTGCTCACCTTGCCTTGGCTTGTGGTACAGTTGAAGCCCAGGTTCTTGGCCTCAAGGCCACAGTCAAAACCCTTGCGGTGCAAGAGGAGGGCGGCATCAGCCGAGGGCAGGGTGTCCTGGAAGACAGTCAGGGCAAGGGCAATGGAGGGTCGGCCGCACTTCTGCCCACAGCACAAGGCTGAATAGAGAAGAGCTGGGGGCAAGGCCAGAACCTGGTGGTGAGGGTTGGCACTCACCGGAACACTCACCTCAGCTGGGAGCGTGCGCAGATTGAGCAGGTGGAAGTCACAGGGCAGTGGGGAGGCCAGGGGGTGAAAAGAGCGCAGAGCAGGGCTGGCGGCCTGCCTCTTGGCCACAGGCAAGGCGAGCGGAGGCATGTTGAGGTACATGGAGGTCAGGTGGCTGAGGAGGGACGGGTAGCTGGTAGGGCGTTCATCTTGGACCTGCAAGATGAACCCAAAATGTAGGTGAGGGGAGCCAGGCTAAAGGGTGAAGAAGGGGAAGCAGGCCAGATCCTTTCCAAACAGCTTTCCTGCTTCACTTGGACTCTGGCTGCCTGGTTCCGGGCCCCAAACTGCCAACCCTTCATAAGTGGCTACTTCTTGTGGTACTTAGAGAGGGCTGTGCTCTCGCTAGTGTGGCCAGTGCACAGAGAGGAGGAAGGGACAACAGACAGACAGGCTCCTCATAGTGACAGTGCTGTAACTATCCCACGGTTAGATGCCCGCATCCACAGTGCCAGCCTGACCCTCAGGTCCACCAGCCTGAGTGAAGACCATTCCTCAGGTGGCTCCCAGGATGCCACATTCACAGGCTTACGTGGGACTGCTCTCCGCAGCCACTACATTTCTATACGCTGATCCCTGACCCTCGCACCCCCCTGAGTGCCCGATATACATTCTCCCTTCACCCTTCAAGCCCAGGCGGGGTGGCTATTCCTCTTCCATTTTGCTTCTGCAATGTCTTCAACACAGACTGCTGCTCCAACTTCGTTTTCCTACCCTTGGCTTAGTTCAAGTCCCTAAGGCTTCCTGTCAACCTCTTAAATCTGTCATCCCTTCCTTGTTTCCCTGGAGAGTCACTGGGCTGCTTCCGGTCCTGACAGATGAGGGCAAAGGACACCCCTCCTCACTCACTCAGGTCCTCCCATGGTCTCACTCTGCCAGGCACTCACTCTGCAGCCTGCCCTGCCCTGCCCCTCCCTCCCACCATGCTCTAGCCCAGCACTGGCTCATGGAGTTTTCTGATAGAGCAGAAACACCATCTGTCACGCCTTCTGTGATAGCCACTGACCACCTAGAACCCCTGGGGCCTTAATATAATTTTGAAACACCAACTTATTATTAGTGTGTATGTGTGAGGGGGTTGCCTGCATATATGTCTGTGCACTTCATGTATGCAGTGCTCCTGGAGGCCAAGAGAAGACACTCCATTCCTTGAACTGGAATTACAGATGGCCCTGAGCTGCCCTGTGAGAGTTGAAGATCAAACATGGATCCTCTGAAAGAGCAGTCAATGCTCTTAACCACTAAGCCATCTCTCCAGGCCTAAGATCCTGTCTCAAGCATGCGCGTGCGCACACACAGCACATACACACACACACACACACACACACACACCAAAAACAAACCTAAAAAACTTGACTGGAGACTTAGCTTAGCGGTAGCGCACTTGCCTAACATGCGCAAAGCACTGGGTTGCACGTGTGGACGGCGGCTGCCTTGCTCGTAGGCACTGCTCCAGTCTAAAGTCACAACCAGCCTCAGGCACAGTCACTGCAGCCTCTATGTTGTTCATGGTTCCCCCTCATCAAAGCGGAGCCAGCACCTACAGACTAGTCCTGCTACAGTAAGTAGCTAAGCCAAGCCTGCGGGATGCTAGGCAGCAGACTCCAGCTACAGGGCCAGTCTGCTCACCCCAGGCCACCCAGGCCCTCGCTGACCCTTACCCTTTGGACTCCTCATCGAGTTGCTGGAAAAGATCAAGCCCCTAAACATGGCTGCCAGTTTGGAGAAAAAGCCAGGCTGGTGAGGCAAAGACAGCCCAGAGATGAGCAAGACTGTGTCGGGGTAGGAGATGCTCAGGCTGGGGGGGGACGGTGAGGGCAGCGAAGAGAAAGGCAGAGGAGAACATGACAGGGGCAAGGTGACAGTGTGGCGGGGCAGGTGCTACCAAGCTGCATGAGAGGGGTCAGCAGACGCCATATAGCCCCTGCCTCAGCGCAAGAGTTAAGCTGTACTCTCTGTCCCTTGATCTCCTCCAGCTATATTTGAGAAACCACAGGGTCCCCCACGGGGCTGAACCTACATTAGCTCGCTGGACAATGGGCCCAGATCTTACCTCATGGCTCATGGTTCGCCGTTCTAACAGGAGGCGGAAGTGGTTGCAGGTGATCTTGTTGTCTTTGAGCCCTTGGCCTAGACCCCGGTTGTCATCCTGCATTAGTCGCCGGTCCAAGATCACCTCCAGCTGGCCTGGGGACCGTAACAGTGAGCTCCAGCTTGCCAAGCCCCATGTCTCAGCAGTCACAGGCCTTGGGAGCCGACTCTCCACCTCAGGTACTCAGGGAAAAGGGCAGTGAGACAGCAGAGTGCAGCTGTCTCGCCTTATTTCTCTAGGTGAAGGGACAGGAGGACTGGAAAGGGGAGTGTTGACCATGGCAGTTCCCCTCTGTGACTCAGGACTAGGATTTGGGCCCTAGGCCTAGGCCAGCAGGAAACCTCTTGGGGACAGGCCACACAGAACACAGTAAAGAGCCAGCGAACAGAAAACTGAGGGGCCTGTCTGTCATACTGCTGCAGAGTCCCTCATCTGAGGTGGGCTTGCTCGGGTTGGACAGACTCATGACTGACACACACTCTCTGCCCCTGCTCTATATGGCATGGGCTAAAAGGACCAGCAGGGCAGCCTGGAGGGGATGGCCGTGCCCATCAGAATCTGCAGGCTGTGGTGAGACAGGCAGAAGGCATATGAGGTGAGGTGAGCAAGGCCTCCAGTGAGAGACAGGAGGACTACCTGTTTGTTTCCCACGTAGAATGTGCTGGGGGAGGGCCCTCACTGCAAAGTCTATGGACGGGAGGGAAGAAAGGCTTTCCCCACAGCCGCCCAGAGCAGCCTCCTCCACAGAGGCTCAGGTTTCCCTTTCATCTTCAGTCCTTTTCTGATCTCTGCAGCCGCTGTGGCTTTCTCCTCTGAGCAGACACAGGAAGCTGTCCCCAGCCCTAAAATAGGTTCCTTGCCTAGAATATAATCATTCCTTAATGCCCCATGTCCCAGAGGGGCAGACAGCTGACTGAGCAAGGACAATGGGCTGCATTCAGGAGCTTTGAGACAGACCGATCCCAAAAACATCCTGGCAGACGATAGGGGAGCCACACTCCTCCCACGGAGGAAGCAGGCACAACACTCAGCACCATTGTGGCGCAGCCTTAACCCTGCACTGAGTTCAGTCCCACAGACAGAAGAGCGACTGCTCATTCTGTCCCAAGGCTGTAGATATCACTGGGGGTCAGGGGGCCTTGGCCTTGTCCCTGCTGGCTTCTCACTCCCTCCAGTACTGCGCAGAGGCTCACACCCTGCTGGTGCCGCACAGGTGATCCAGCACAGAGCTAAACCTCCAGACTAAGTCTCACTAAATGGCCCAGACTGAGTTTGAATTTAGGATCTTCCTACCTCAGCCTCCAAGGAGCTGAAGTTACATGTCTATGCTACTAGGCCAAGAACTCCTCCTTTGATTAGTAAGAATGTCAGCTGGGTGACGGTGGCACATGCCTTCAATCCCAGCACTCGGAAGGCTGAGGCAGGTGGATCTCTGTGAGTTCAAAGCCAGCCTGGTCTACAAGAGCTAGTTTCAAGACAGGCTCCAAAGCTACAGAGAAACCATGTCTCAATGAACATAAAACAAAAACAAAAAACAAAACGAAACACAACAAAACAAAATGTCAGCCTTTTTTATTTTTTATACTGACCATTAGGAGGAAATACAGACATTTCTCCTTTTCTAAGTATTACATCTGCCTGGTGATCTGCCTGGTGGTAGCGCACACCTTTAATCCCAGCACAGGAGGCAGAGGCAGGCGGATCTCTCTAAGTTCGAGGCCAGCCTGGTCTACAGAGAAAGTTCCAGGACAGCCAGAGCTACACATAAAAACCCTGCCTCAAAAATAAAAGGAAATAAAAAAGAGCTGCACCCCTCAGCTGAGACTAACCCTTTAATCCCCAGCTTCCTCCCCCAAAGGAGAGGATGCCCAAGTGTGACTGGCAGGAGCTGTAGATGGCTCATCCCTTTCCAAGCTTTGGGGTGATGGGGTTTAGAGAGAGGGGAGGCAAGCCAACAAAGAGGACTCACTGAGGCAAAGGGTAGGCTGGTTCCCTACTCACCGTCACCGAGGCTGGAGACACCCAGGGCCTGTGCGGTGTGCAGTGTGAGGCGCCTCTGTGCATCTTGGATATAGGCCATGACTGGCATCGGGTAAAAGTTAGCCTGCAGGGGCAACTTCTTTAGATACCTCCGGAGCTGTACCTGCAGGGAGGAGTTCAAGGTCAGCTAGGAATGATGTCTGATTTGTGTTCTGAAGGCTCCTCAGTGTGAAGGCCTTTCTGGCTATTATTTTTGGTTTTGTTATTATTTGTTTTTTCTTGAGACAGGTTTTCTCTGTGTAGCCCTGGTTGTTCCAGAACTTGTTCTGTAGACCAGGCTGGCTTCGAACTCAGAGATCTCCCTTTCTTTGCCTCCCAAGTGCTGGGATTAAAGGCGTGCACCACCACTGCCCAGCTATTTTTCCTTAATTGAGTGTATGTATATAACGTGTGCACAGGAGTGTATGTGCCACAGCACACATGTGCAAGTCAGAGGAGAACTCTGTGGAATGGGTTCTCTCATTCCACCTTTACCAGGGCTCCAGGAATTGAGCTCAGGTTGCCAGGCCTGATCAAGAGCCTTTACCCACTGAGCCACTTCATTGGCCCCATGCTGGCCCCCAGTCCTTGGCCCCCTCCCCACAGCACCTGCATTGGAGGCCAAAAGCAGCCCAAGTTCTATGGGGCCCAAGAGTTACCTGAAAGCCATTGAGGTCTGTGAAGAAAGTCCCCTTGCTATCAATGTCCGTGTGGATGCGCAGGGCCAGCTCCTTGTTCACATAGTCTCTGATGTCTACCAGAAACGCCATGTCCAGAGACAGCCCCTCTACCCCTGCACACGGGGACAGCCAGAAGTGAGGTGAGCACAGCCTGAGAGTCTATGCCGGGGAAGCTCCACCACCCTCCTCCTCGGAGCTTCCAGGGCACTGGCCTCTGGGCTTTCGCTCAAGAGAATCAACATCCCACGTCAAATGATACATCTGTTTGTCAATGGAAATGGGGCAGAAGAGGAACGGGTGCCAGCCTGTGGGACTGACATCTCCTCGGGCTCACCTGGCAGGTTATAAAGTCGGATCACTTGGTGAAAGTGCTCATAATACGCAGCCACCTCCGAGAAGAACGGGCCTTCGGTGACACGCAGCACGGGAGGCTTCTTGGGGACGTAGGGCTGGGAAAAGAGCATGGGGCACTGAACCCACAGTACAGAGTACACAGTGACAGTACCAACCCAGAGTGGGGCAACGGAAGTCCTCATCCCAGTGCTCTGGCCCGAGACCTGTGCCGAGCAGGCCCAGAGCACTTTAAGACCACAGTTCACTTCTACATGGCAACGAAGACAAGGACAGGCAGGCAACACACAGGAGGCGGTGACGAAGGGATGTTAGGGCCCTCCCAGGCTCTCCCCATCCACGAGACCCCGCAGACTGTGGGAGCCATCGCAGGTACCTTAGCCTCGCTATCCGGCAGGAAGAGGTAGGCACCACTCTTGTCTTTGGATGTGCGGGTGCCGTAGATGAGGAACTTCATGTCCATTTGCTGCTCCTGCTCCTCGTCCACCCTTCGGATGCTCTGCCAAAGAACACAGCCCTGACCCCTGGCCCCACACCAGCATGTCAGGTCTCCCCCTGGAGGGCAGGGACTGACTTCCCCTCAGGAGCCAAGCCCAGCTGGGATCTTAGGTGTCCCCCATAAGGTCTGTGTGTTCAGGGCTTCTTCCCAGACTGCTGCTACGAGATGAGGTGGAGACATCGGGACTCTACCACCTCCCTTCCTCCCTTCTACTTTTCCTTTCTTGTTTCTTTTTTTTTTAAGATTTTTAAAAAATATTTATTATGTATACAATATTCTGTAGAATATGTATAGTGTTCTGTCTGCATGCATGCCTACTGGGCACCACATGGTGGCTCACAATCATCTATAATGAGGTTTGGTGCCCTCTTCTGGCTTTCAGGCACCAGACCTCATTACAGATGGTTGTGAGCTACCATGTGGTTACTGGAAATTGAACTCAGGACCTTTGGAAGAGTAGGCAGTGCTCTTAACCTCTGAGCCATCTCTCTAGCCCCTTAAGATTTATTTTTATGTATAGTGTTCTGTCTGCATGCATGTCTACTGGGCACCAGATCTCAAGATGGTTGTGACCCACCGTGTGGTTGCTGGAACCTGAACTCAAGGCTTCAGGAAAAGCAGCCAGTGCTCTTAACCTCTGAGCTAACTCTCTAGCCCCATCTTTTTTGCTTTTCTTGAGACAGGGTTTCTCTGTGTAGACCTGGCTATCCTAGAACTTACTCTGTAGACCAGGCTGGCCTTGAGATCCGACTGCCCCTGTCTCCCGAGTGCTGGCATTAAAGGTGTGTTACCACAGCCCAGCTAAGGCTGACCTTAACTTCTGATCTCCTGCCTTCGCCTCCCAATGCTGGGATTATAGGCATGTGCCACCACATCCGGTTTGCACTGCTGGGTGCCAATCCCAAGGCTACAGCTGTTGGTAGACTGCACAGCCTAGCATGCATCTCCAGCCTCCACCTTTTTCTTCTGAAACAGCGTTTCTTTGTGTAGTCCTGACCCAGTCCCTTTTTAATTTTCCTTCCTTCCTTCCTCCCTCCCTTCCTTCTTCCCTTCCTTCATTTATTTTGAGGTACCATTTCATTGGCTCTCCTGGAACTTAGCATGTAGAGTAGGCTGGCTTTGAATTTACAGAGGACACACACCCCCAACCCTGACTCAGTTTCTCAAGTGCGAGAATTGAAGGGTATGTGACCAAACCCAACTTCTTTCTTTAAACTTTTTAAGACAAGGGTCTCCTGTAGTTCAGGTTGGCCTTGCTATACAGCCAAAGATGACCTTGAACTTCTGGCCTCTGGCTTCTGCCCCCTCCACTGCTGAAATCTTAGATATGCACCAGCACACCCAACCTCTCTCCTGTGTCCTGACTGTGCCGTAATTTACTTTCCTGAGATGTGTTCCTTGCCGTGACGTGCTGCCTAACCGCAGGCCCAAATGCAATGGGTCTGTCTAACCGTAGGTTCAATGCTCACAAACTGTAATAACCTTCTCTTCTTTACAAGTTGCAGACACAGTAACAGACGGTTAACGCGCTCAGCTGTGCCATGCTGTCAGCTTGAGAGCTGCTAATGCTCACACCCAAGCCTCTGTGAGTCAGGCGACAGGCGCACACGGGGCCAGGAACAGCTGTGCACAGCCTCCTGATGCCCGTGCCCTTCTCTGGTCCCTCCCCACCGACCCTGGCCTGGCCCTTTACCTTGAGGAGCCCAGTAAGGCCGGAGAACCAGACCTGCATGTAGCGATTGCTGATGGCGAAGTCACTGGGGCTGGAGTCCATGACACGGAGAGGGAAGGCTGCTTGCCTGCCGATGGACAGCTTCGCACCGTTCAGGTAGATGCGTACGGAAGACGGCAGCGTGTAAGGCCCATCGAGATCTGGCTGCAGCTGCAGCACACCCAGGCCCAGGGCTGGCAGGCGGATGGGTACCGACACCTGAGTCCAGGAGCAGAAGGAAGCAATGAACAGAGAAGCACCAGTCCAGACTTCTCCTCCATCCTAAACCTCCACATTCTGTTTTCTGGGTTGTGTCTTTTCTTCCTTTTTTTTTTTTTTTTTTTGGTTTTAATTTTTTTTTGATTTTTTTGAGACAGGGTTTCTCTCTGTAACATCCCTGACTGTCCCTAGAACTCACTTTGTAGACCAGGCTGGCCTCGAACTCACAGAGATCCACCTGCCTCTGCCTCCCGAGTGCTAGGATTAAAGGCGTGTGCCATCACCTCCCAGCATTCTGTTTTCTGAAGCTAAGCATGGAACCTTGCATTTCTGTCTGGGAAGTCCTGTCTGCTTTGGCATCCTGGTTCTGAGCCACAGTGTCATTCCGCATGCCTGTCGGCAAAGGGGCACAGCACTCAGTTGAGAGCCCAGAGTCTGAAGCAAGCTAACTTCACAGACTATCTGGGCGACCTTAGGCAAGTAACATAACCTCTCTGGACCTCTGCTGCTGGTGAAATGAGGATTACATCACTATGTACACTCTTACACTATGTACACATAAGAGTTTAATGAAAGCCAGAAGGGAGGGTACATTGCTGTATCCCAACAGTCAGGAGGCTGAAGCAGAGGAAAGCAAGTCTGAAGCTAACCTAAACTGCACAGCGAGGGCTTGTCTTTAAAAAAAAAATCTTAACGAATTGAATATTTAAGCAAAGAAAGCAGTGCCTGCCATGAACTATGTCTGAACGTTTATTTTTCATCCACATTACAGATGAAATACATAAGTCAACATAATAAACCATCTTTAGAAGCTTGTGTCCAGGAATTAAGAGACCAGCCTGGGCAACATGCAAGACCCTATCACAACAAAGTAAACAAATACTTGCTGAGCAGCCGAGGGCACTGTTGCTGCCATCTGTGCTATAATTATGACCACAGTGTCCTCGTCATCCTTTTAAGGATACTCAGATTCCAAGAGGGACTGTCCTTTGGGCAATGCCTCTCCCCAAACCACCTGCCTCCATCCTGGGGAGTAAGCAGGGCGCAGCGGAGGAGTAGGAAGCAGGTGCTCGTGGGGAGGGAGGCCCGGGAGAGGTACTGATGAGCAGGGAGGGCTGAGCCCTGCCTCACCTGGTAGACATCAGGGACCAGGTTAGTGGCCGAGCTCCAGTGCGCACTGATCTGCACAGAGAGGGGCTGACCCGCCTCTGAAAGGACTCGCACCCTTGGGGAGTTGACCAGCAGGGACACCACACTGAGCCTCTCCTGTTCCAGCGGGTTAAATAGCACCACAAACCTGTGGGTGGAAGGTGGGCTGACCCGGGAGCTTGCTGCAGCGGCAGGGCAGAAGCAGCAGCCAGAGCAAGGCCCCCTTGTTCTGGGGAGTGGAGGGTGTGCCTCTGTGAGCCTGGCCAGGCCTGACTCACCTGGGTGAGGAATCCAGCTGGATCACTGTGCGCTCTGGCAGGGCATCGTGACTTGAACGGCTCTCGTCCTGCAAAGACGTGAGCAGGAAGAAGGAATGATGGCTGAGCTCAGCCTCCTCCCCACCCCAGCCTGTCCAGGATATGTACCATAAACATGAAATTTGCACCACAGAGCAAGGAAGGCAAAGAGGCACAGCACTCACCAATAGCGGCTCTCCAGGTAATACCCACCCACACCACAGGATCTCTCCAGCTGATGTAGTAGGGGCTCACCATTTGGAGGAAGGGTGTCCCAGGGTCAAACTCGTAGGCCTCCTTATCTCCCAGCACCAGATAGTGAGCAGCATTGATGATGACCTGCTTCAGGCTAACCAGGGACCGCAGCAGTCTGCGGAGGGCAAGAGAGAAAGCCGAGAGAAGACGGCCGTGAGGAGGCTGTCTGCCACACCAGCAGGACCAATCACCCACATAGCCTCTCTTTGAAATGGTGAGGGACGTGAGGGTGGCACCTACCTGACTCCATAGTCTACTACCACCGCCTCCTTGGCAGTTCCGGTGATGGCATCGTGGTGCTGGAAGAGCCCCAGTGTGCGCCGAGCTTCCGTCAGAAGAGCAAAATCAGACACCGGGTACTGGCCAGCCAGTCCAGAGCGGCGGGCATGAGCCACAGCCAAGCTGTATAGGACCTCTGCCCCACTACCCAGAGAAAGAAGTCAGAGCCCTTCCTCTCCTGTTCAACCTCACCCAAGGGTCACCCCCACACTGGCAGGGTCCTCTCCCGCTACTCCGCAAAGGTTAACTCGCATTCAACAAGGGAAGGTGGCAGGTCTCACCGCAGGTGGGCTTCTAGGACTCGGTCCAAGCTCTTGTAGAAAGGCCGGGAAGTGTAATAGCCTGTCCAGTAGTGGTCCTCCCGGTCAGCATAGGAGAAGAAATCTCCACTCAGCACAGGAAACCCTGGAGGCCGGGCACCGGGCTCCACTCCTGTCCTCTTATAGAGGGCATCAAAATACTCAGAGAGGGTCCCGAACTGGGCCTGTAGGAACACAAAACACACTCCCATCAATTGCAGAGCCTCCTGGGAGCTCTGGCTACCATTCCACAATGCTGCAGGCATGTGCCCAGGTGAGGACTTTGTTTAGCAAAGGGCAGGAAATCTCTATGTCCTGCTCTGCTGGGGCTAGCAAGAGCTGGGGAACTTGGGGATGCATTCTGATCCACATAGGAACCGTGGCCGGGACTGTGAATGACCAGGAGCCCTCAGCAGCAGGGCTGGTAGAGGAAGAATGGGGCTGCAGCTGGTAGAGGAAAGATCGGGCTGCAGCTGATAGAGGAAGGATCGGGCTGCAGCAAGAGAGCTGCACAGCCATCTGCAGCGCCTCCCACCTGCACATGGAGCTCAGGCTTGCTGTTGAGGAAGTCAAAGAGCCGCTGGTAGTTGAAGAACTGGGCATCCCACTCCTGGGGCTTGTCATAGCGGAAGTCATCACCCAGTGGCACAAGGAGGACGTTGCTTCGGAAAAGCCGGGACTTCTTCCGGTACTGGTCCAGGAGCAGGGCTGCCCTGGAAACACAGACGTCACAGGCCCAACATGAAGTCCCAGGCTTAAAAAGATTGGTGAGGATGGTGGGGAGGTGGCTCAGTGAATAAAATGTTTGCCACACAAGCATGAGGAACGGAGTTTGGACACATACCCCCCCGGAAACGTGTAAATGCCAGTGGGCATGGAGGCCTGACTATAAGCGCAGAGCTCAGAAGGTGAAGACAGAATCCCCAGAGCTAGCAGCGTAGCTAGACCAGCCCATACTGGAGATGAGCTCTGGGTTTACCTGAGAAACCTTTTCAAGGAGTAAGGTGGAGCGAGACCAAGGAAGATTTCTGAGGTCAACCTTGGCTCTCCATACACACTCACAGACCTGTGTATGAATCCACAAATGTGGGCGCACACACATTCACACTACGCCTGGTGGCATTCACTTTTAACTCTAGCACTTGGGAGGCAGAAGGCAGGCAGGTCTCTGTGATTATGAGGCCAGCCAGGGTGACACAGTGAGATCCTGCCTCAACAAAAGAAAAACAAAAGACGCAAACGAGAAGCTCGGCACAGAGGCACCTTGTAACCCCAGTACCTGGGAAGCTGCGGCAAGAAGGTTTCAAGTCGGAAGCCAGGCAGGTCTACACAGAGAAGACCTGATGGGTATGGCAGCACATGCCTGTAACTCCAGCACTTTGGGGGTACCAGTAGTTCAAGCCCATCTTCACCTATACTGCAAGTTCAAGGACAGCCTCGGCTACCTGAGACTGTCCATATCTCCCAAACACATACAAAGAATGGTGCCTTGCTTGAACTGTATGAGAAAATTTATTTATTTTTATCTATATCATCTATTCAGTAGAGCCTTACAGCATGTCATTAGAGTCATGAGACTGAGGCAGGAGGACTGTTGGAAGCTGAGGTCAGCCTGAGCTACATGACAAGACCTTGTCTCCAAAAACAGAAAAAGAAAAAAGAAAAGGAAAAGTAGCTTTTTTGGTGCCTGGATTGCTAGCACGAGCCGCTTCTGCTGCTGCCACATTCTCAGCATTTTAGCTAGGGTGACATTTAGATCGACCTTAACACTTTTGTAGGGGTCTAATTTTAGTCACAGTGACACCTTTGAGGTCCTTTACTATTCTCTTAGAAGAGACAGGTCTTTTTTCTCCAAGGCTAGAGGCTCTCCGGAAGGACTGGGTGGATCTAAGCAGCATTTGGGCCCAGTGAGTATAAGGTCCACCTGCCTGACCTGGAGCTGACCCAGAGAACCTGAGTCCAATGAAAGACAGCAGCTGAAAGTTTGCAAGAAATGGTAACAACGTAAGAATCGTTCAGGGCAGTAAGAATCGTTCAGGCATAGTGGCACAGGCCTTTAGTCCCCGCACTTGAGAGGCAGAGGTGGGCGGATCTCTGTGAGTTTGGGGCCAGCTTGGTCTATGTAGTGAGTTACGGGACAGCCAGAACTTGAGACTCTGTCTCAGGAAAATAAAAAAAGAATTGTTTAGGGCTGGGGATGTAGTTCAGTTGGTAAAGTGCTTGCCCCGCTTCACAAATCCCTGATCTGGGCAGCAACCAGGTGTAGTGAGTCATGCTTGTAACCTAGCACTCAAGACATGGAGGCATGTTTAAGGCCAGTCAGCCTGGAATATGAGATCTGTCCCAAAAAGAAAACAAAAAAGGGGGGAGGGGGATATCTCCCAGTCTATTAGGGCATCAGAAGGCAGCCTCACTGAGGAAAGTAAAAGCATTCTGGGAAGGAAGCTAAGCGCCAGTTCTATTCCCCAGGGAGGCAGTAAGGAGTCGCTACTGCAGATGCACGGCCTAAACTCTCCCCGCAGAGTCCGCCCTTCCTTCCAGGTACGGCCAGCATCATGCAGTCCCATGTGGCAGAGCCAAGACCACAAACCATGTTTCAGAGCCGGGTGTGGCAGCAAAGACCTGTTACCCTATTCTCAGAAGACAGAAGCAGGAGGACTGAATACCCCTGGGGCTCCACAGCCCAGAACCCCAAACCCCACTCCTTGTCCCTGCAGAGCTGACAACAGATACCTGTCTGCCACATTGGCCTCTGTAATGGCCCGGGGCGGCACCTTCCAAGGGCAGTTGATGCGCCCGCCAGGCAGACGTTTGAAGTCGAACTGGCAGCAGATCTTGGGATCAGGGCCACAGGTGTGTGGTACATCGTAGCTGTAGAAGGGCATCATGTGGCAAAAGATGTCTGTGCTGGCATCTGGATCTACAGATGACAAAGGTACACGGTAGGGTCAGACACTGGCAGGCAGGGTTAGCAGCTAGCTACAAAGACATCACGCGTGTATAGATTCGTGTTGTCCATAGGCAGCCCTGAGACACTGAGGCTCTGGTTAAACTCAAGACTGTAGAGTATGTGGAAGAGGACTGGGAAGAGGACACGGGGCCCCCAGATCCACAGCTCCTGCAGGAGATGTGCCCCCAGATGCCAGCGGAGGTCAACAGGACTCACACAGGGTCTGATCGCATGAACCTTCCCTTCCCCAGTAAAGATCACACTACTATACGACCCGTGCCCCTCCCTGGCCTTACCCCACATCTGCCTCCACATGAACTCCAGGCTGTGGGTGGCAGCAAAGTGCTTCTTGATGGCATAATGCACCCTCTGAATCAGCATGCTGGTCAGGTTGGCACGGCGCAGCAGGTAAGGCATGGTGGAGCTGTACCCAAAGGGGTCCACTGCCCAGCCCGAGCGAGGGGTTGCACCTGGGCAGAGCACAGATTTCAAAGGCCCTGAATACCTTAGGGACTGGCTGCTGGCTTCCTAGTGCCTGGGAGGCCAGCTTCTGCCTTACCCAGCAGGCAGGCTGCATAAGCCTGGAAAGGAACAACTCCCGACCAACCACTGTACCTCACAGCATCTTGCCACCATTCAGGCCCAGCACTGGGGGAGAGTCTAGCTCCCACGCCTGGACTTACCCAGGTTCCTCTCCAGCCACTGGTGTCCCTCGATGAGCTGGTCAATCAAGGCAAAGTAATGGGAGTTGGCCTCATCCGGCATCACCCATCCGCCTGTTGCAATCTCCAGCTGCCCGTTTCCCACCAGCCTAAGGATGAAGGCACATTCAGGACGTGGCAGGGAAGGGCGACAGGGACTGCATGCATTGGCCTCCTCCAGCCAGAGAATACTCACAAGCTTGGCACCCACAGCATGAGACAAGACCAACCCACTGACCTAGGGCTTAATGACACCCACGCCTTCCCAGCTACCACTGACCTTCGAACTGCTGCCTTTTTTTGGGCACTGATATTGTCCCACCACTTGGCGAAGAACGAGACTTCTGCCCAGAGAAAGCGTCGCCGGGGATCTTCCTGCAGCTTGGAAACCATGCTATTGAGGATGTGCTGGGTTTGTTCCATGTAGTACTTGTCAAAAGTCTTGATCCAGCCTGGGGGAGCCAACGCAAGGTCCCCTGAATATGCCGCACACGTCAGCTGCACCCCTCACGTCTGTCCTCAGAAAGCCTGCCCCACACCCTGGCGCCGGGGCCTGCTGGGCCTTCACCTGGATCGTTGTGTGAGTGGGGTACCACAAACACCTGCAGGTCTTCGGCGTCCCAGTCATTCGGGCTGTAGGAGATGTCAAAGCCTTGTCTCCACACGCCACCCTCCACATTGTCAAACGGCAAGTCTTCGGACACCGTTAACATCTGCCAGGGAGGAACGCGGCTCAGGGCCCACCCGCGACAACAGGAGACTCCCCCCACCCCTGCGCCAGCTCCAGCTCTTACCTGTAGTTCTGGCTTCTGACCCCTGCCCCCCAAAGCAAACTGGCAGTCCTTGGGGGAGACAGAGAAGAAGCTGGGCCGGGGCTCTGGGAGCACAGCCCAGGAGCCATTGGCTGTGTGGTAGGGCAGTAGGGCTGGCGGGCCCTCAGCATTGGCTGTCAGCTCCAGCACGGAGTCCTTGATGTGGCTAATGATCTCATGGTTTTCCTCCAGCAGCTGCTCCAGCTGTTCGATCCGGTTCTGCAGCACAGAAATTTGGCTCTGCCAAAAATAAGAACAGAAAGGGACCACTCATATAGCTCCCTGTCACAGACACAGGAAGAACTCCTGCTTGGGGCCACCACCTGATGCCTGACTGGTCTATGATTCCCTCTCCGCAGGCCGAGTCGGACCATGGGCCTACAGGGCTGAAGTGGACCGCACATCACCCCTGCAGACTCCTGTCCACTGGGCCTGGAAGTAGCGTCACCCTTCTCCAGCTCACGGAGGGCAAACGTTTCAGCTCGCATGCCTGCGCTCAATGGCCTGGACCTCCTGTCTCAAGCATGGCGCTGAGGATTGCGTTCAGCTTAATGGCAAAGAAACATGGCAGTAGATAAGCAGCGTCTGCCAAGTAGTCAGCTCAGACGAGCAATGCACATGGCCACTTTTCTTCTTCCTTCCCCCACTGCTGTGGCCAGGAGCACAGCCCAGTGGTGAGGCATGTGTTTAGAAAGAACCAGCCCTTGGGCAACCCACCTCCAAAGGAAGGAAAATCTCTCTAGGAATGCTCAAACGCACAACTCAGCTGTAGCCTGCATGCTGCGTGCACGAGGATACAGGAGTGCTCCCCAAGACCACGGGGTGGGAGAGGGTGTTTTGTCCTATCCTGACACAGCTCACTTGCTGGGAAGATGCCAAGCCCAGGTGACTTGCATTTGAGGAAGAGAACAAGGTATGACTCACCCTGGGGAAGTTCCCACCACTCTGGTGTCTGGCAGGATCATGTTGTACTCGGTCCAGCATCAGGTAGAGCGAGAAGACGGCGACGCAGAAGATGGCAGCGCCACACACCGTCACCTGCTTTTTCAACTTCATACTGACCCCCACATGTACCTGGCAGGAGACACGCCACCTGTCGTTTTGGCATGCAAAACCTTCTGTTGCACTTCCTAACAAGCGCCCTCTGAACTCCCAAGGAGCACCTATTTGTGCCTGACTCTGGTAAAAAACCAAAGCGTGCCCAAGAACCAAATCTTGGTTGCGACTCCTAGCGCACAAGTTGCACATATATCTGGGGCTGGTCCTGTAGGGCAGGAATTCTGTCTCCCCTCAATCCGATCCATAAAAACCTGGATACACTGTGTGTCACTGTGTGTGAATGTACGTGTGTGTGTGTGTGTGTGTGTGTGTGTGTGTGTGTGGCACTGGCAGGTGAGACAGCTCAAGAGGTAAAGGCACTTTCAGCCAAGCCTGACAACCAAGTTAAGCCATTTGACTAGCATGGCGGAAGCAGAACACCAACCTCCACAACTGTCCTCTGATTGCCACATGTTTTCTGTGGTGTAGACGCACACAGATAAATAAGTGTGACATATTAAAACGAAAACAAAAGTGGGGATAACAGAGTCCCAGCTCTGACTCACATTTCATTATAAAACCACTAATTACAAACAGCTTGCTCAGGACTATGCCCGCAGAGAAGGTCTGTCCAGGCTTCCTAGCCATGTGTTTCCTCCCTTCGGATGCATAAATACCAAGGCTTCTATTTTGTTTGACTTAGAGGTACAATCACCGCCTCAGGAGACAGGCTAGCCTCCCTGCTCTGACCTCCTGAGTCAGACTGCTTGCTACTCAGCAGAAACAGTGCCTGGCCCAGATCCTGTCTCAGGAAGCATACAGAATGGATTTCTTTTTAAAGAGATGCTCACGTTTCTAACACAACCTAGTATTAGTATTCTAGTATTCACCCTGGCGGTACTGATTCCTGCAGTGCAAAACTTCCAGTCCTGGCTTCCAGAGCGCTTTCAGGGACTCCTGAGAAGCCAGCGGCGAGACTCAAAGTCCCTAGGGTAGTGGAGGCCGGGAGCTACTTCTCGGAAACGAAGCAACTCGAGAGGACCCACAATGCCCGCTGCCACCGCCCGCGGGCCCCCCACTTGCCTGTCGGCGGAGGGAGGACGCTAGCTGCCGAACGCGCGTGGGCGGGACCGCGTTCTGGAGTCTGCTCTTCGGGCCCTGGTGCTGAAGATCTCCGTCACCTCACCCTGCGTCCTACTTAGCGCCAACTGATTCCGCTCGGGAGCCTCCGGGCAATATTTTTAGCCCCTGGAGGTTGGGTCCTGGTCAAAGAGGGCGGTGCTGGGGAGCAGGAGCTGGGTCACCGTTGGGGGCAGGCACCTGCCGCGGGGTCGTCGTCCCCCGCCCCACGCAAGCCCGCCCAGCCCCCTCCGGTCCTCGGAGCTCAGCGGGCACCCGGGGGCCGCAACGCCCGCGGCCTGCAGGCAGGAGTC